TGTTCTTATACCAGAGAGTCAACTACAAAACCCTTAGAAGTAACCAAGGAATATAGTAGCATCTCAGGTTACAAAATCAATACCCACAAATTAGTAGCCTTTGTGTATGCCACAATTGTTGAGCTGAGATTAAAATCAAAAACACTATTCCTTTTACAATAGCTCCAAAGATGATGAAATACCTGGGAATATATCTAACAAAAGATGTGAAAGATCTCTATAAAGGGAATTATGAAACTTTGAGAAAGGAAATAGCAGAAGATGTCAACAAATGAAAGAGCATACCATGCTCATGGCTGGGAAGAATCAATATCATTAAAATGTCCATACAACCCAAAGCAATCCATAAGTTTAATGCAATCCACATCAAAGCACCAATGTCATACTTTAAAGATCTTGAAAATATAGTACTTCAATTCATATGGAACCAGGAAAAACCCAAATAGCAAATACAGTTCTTAGAAATAAAAAGAATTCTGGAGGCATCACATTTTCAGACTTCAGGTTACATTACAAGGCTATAGTAATCAAAACAGCATGGTACTAGCACAAAAATAGAGACACAGATCTGTGGAATAGAATAGAGAATCTACAGATGAACCCAGCCACATATCATCATTTAATCTTTGATAAGCCTAATAAAAAATATGCAATGGGGAAAATAATCCTTATTTAACAAATGGTGCTGGGCGAACTGGTTAGTCACATGCAGAAGACTGAAACTGGAGCCACATCTCTCACCATTGACAAAAATTGATTCTTGTTGGATAAAAGATTTAAATTTAAGACATGAAACAATAAAAATTCTAGAAGAGTGTGCGTAAAACACTTGAAGATATTGGCCTGGGAAAAAACTTCATGAGGAAGATTCCCCTAGCAATTGTAGCAACACTACAAAGTGTAATTCAAATACATGTGAACTTGGAGGAGTCAAACAGCATTAGAAAAGAAGGAGACTTTACATCTTTTACACTTACCTGGATGGAGGTAAAGTACATATTCTTAGTAAAGTATTCCAAGAATGGAAAAATAAATATCCAATATCCAATAAATAACTGGGATTTGATCAAGCTAAAAAGCTTTTGCACAGCTAAGGGTACCAAAAACAAAGCAGAGAGACAGCCTTCAGAATGGGAGAAGATTGTTGCATGTTATGAACCTGACAAAGGCCTGATAACTAGAATCTACAGAGAACTCAAATTAAACAATAAGAAAAGTACAATAAGAAACAATAAGAAAACCCTCTCTATAAGTGGGCAAGAGATTTTAATAGAAACGTCTCCAAGAATGAAAAACAAATGGCCAACAAGCATGAAAAAATGTTCATCATCTTTAATCATCAGAGAAATGCAAATCAAAACCATTCTAAGATATCACCTATGTCCAGCAAGATTAGCCCACATCATAAAGTCCCCAGACACCAGATGCTGGTGTGGATATGGAGAGAAGGAAAGACTTCTACATTGCTGGTGGAATTGTAAACTAATATAGTCCTTTTGGAGGGAAGTATGAAGAATCCTCAAAGATCTAAATGTAGACCTTCCATTTGACCCTACAATCCCAATATTAGGTATCTACCCAGAAGAATAAAATCATTTTACAAAAATACATTAGCATTAGAATGTTTATTGTGGCTCAATTCATAATTGCCAAGTCATAGAAGCAGCCTAAGTGCCCATCAACCCATGAATGGAACAACAAACTGTGGCATATGTATACTATGAAATATTATTCAGCCATTAGAAAATATGGAGACTTTACATCTTTTACATTTACCTGGATGGAGGTGAAGTACATTCTTCTTAGTAAAGTATCACAAGAATGGAAAAATAAATATCCAATGTACTCCATACTAAAATGAAATCTTTATATAAACAATTACATGTTCCTAAGAACATCAAACACTATTATAGTCCAGTTTGAGAGTAGAAGGGAGCAGGAGGGAGGTGGGGAGAGGATGTATGGCAGAAGGTGGGAGGGCACGAGGTGGGATCTCACCAAATGTGCACATTTTGAGGGTGTATAACACACCCCCTGGATGAAGGGCTCTTCTACAAATGGAACTTTGCCCTGGAAGTGAGAACAATGTAACCTAAATATTGTACCCTTATATTAATTTGAATAAATTTAAAAAGAGAATGGAAATACAATATCACAAAAAATTATAGTAACGTGAGAGATTTTTTTAAATGCACAGAATGCAGGGTTATCTTCTTACAAGTTTGATTCAACAGTCACGGTTATGAAAGGCAGTCTCTAAGATGGCCTCCAAAGAACACTGCCTCCCAGTATTCTTGCCTTCATATAGTAACTTGTTCTTGAGTGTGGAATGGAATTATTCATATCTAACAAACATAATGGCAGAAATGATGGGATGTCACTTCTGGCATTAAGTTATAAAAGCCTATGGCTTCTACTTGGAGAGCTCTTTCTCACTCTCTCTAGATCAATAACCCTGAGGGAAGGCAGGTGCCATGTTGTAAGGCACCTCTGTGCAGAGGCCAATGTCAGGAGGGGCTAAGACATGACAACAGGGAGTAAAGGAACCACCCTGCCCTCCTATCCCCACCTGCCAGATTAGCTTTCATATGAGACCACAGCCCTGGCTGACATCTTGACTTTAATATCATGAAATATCTTGAATCAAAGGCTCACAAAAGCTATACATGGCATGCTAACTCACAGATACTGTGAAATAACAAGCATACATTGGTTTGAACCATTAGATTTTAGAGAATTTTATTGTAGCAATAGATATACAGAGGCAAGCCTGTGCGGTAATGGTCCAGAGTTCTGGTAGTCTGTGTAGGCCAAATCTAAACCAATTCCTACTCGATACTCCTTGGTGGCAAGTATCTTGTGTAGCTCAAATATTGATAGAGATGATGGAACTGTTGCTCTTTGAGACTTTTAGAATGGGGACAATTATCATCCACCCACTTCACCTTTTAACCCAGAAAATCATTTGCCAATCATGTTCTATCAAAATGCAGTTATAGTATATATCAAGATATCCTGTCTCTGCTATGAGTCTTGCTTGGTTTGAGGCTAGCTCTAATTCCCAAACTTATACTTTTTAAATTATTCAAATCCAAGTTATATTTAAAATGTTATACAAGATATATATCACTAGATCAGAGGTTAAATTAAATAAATGTAATAATGCATGATCTTTCAGTAAAAACAAGTATGTCATATAGTGTATAACAATATTTTTATATAAGAAGTCAGATTCTAGGCAATAATCCATGTTTTAACTTGATTTTCAATATAACAGAATTCAATGCCAAAGAAGTCTTTGTTTACTCCCTGGAATATATAGTATATTTAAAGTAATTTATATTTCTCATTCAAAATTAGATTTTTAAAAAAATAATTTTCCTCTGGTTAAAAGTAAATCAAAACCATAATTTGTTTTTTAAAGAAGCAACTATCAACACAGTAAGAAGGAAATCCATAGAACAAGAAAAAATATAGGCAGTCCCCAGGTTATGGATGCGATAAGTT